TGAATCCGATTGGTGGATTCAGGTCATTCAGATAGTTGTAAACTTCACAAAACTCGTCTCGTTTAATCACAAAACTGTCATCTATATGACGCCAGAATATCGGGGGTCCGTACGGGAATCCGGCCAAAGATTTCTGTTCAAAACCTTCCACAAAATTGTTGGCCCAAACCGGGGGTATTGGAGGCCCGATTGCTAGACCTCGCTCTTGAGTACAAACCACGCATGCAGTCCACGTTTCGTTGTAGGCTCACTAGAAAGCTGAGTGATGGAAGGCAACCTTTCGTTGTCCCTGGGTGACTTTCACTTGTGTCGCTTTGGCTCTGAGTAACTGGGAGCCTGAGGGAGAGAGCGTGGTAGCAGCACTTATGAACCAGCGCAGGCCAACAAAATGCACCAGTGACACCCAAGACGAAATATCAGTTGAAGCAGCTTGAACCGGAGAATCAAGAACTCAAACCTGATAGAAATGACTCCGCAGGATTTAGGCAGTCGCACTAACCGAAATGACCCTTTAACTGACGTTCAACATTGATCTAGTCGGAAGAGATCTTGCTGACTGGTTCTCCGTCGACCAACTTGGTAGCCTATTCACTTGACCTGACAACACTTTCGTATCAAAAGGGAAATGTTGTCCATCTATAAGACTATCTATTATTTACCAACCAAGTATTTTTGAAATGATGACTTCTCAGCCGGTTCCAAACTTGTTCTAATTGATTGATTTCCGTTATTGTTACTTGATAAGCGGGTCAACAAAATCACCAACCGAAATGCACAGTCTGTTTGAAGTCAGCTCACCTACGAAGTGGTTAGCTGACCAAGTCTGTTTGTATGGGATTACGAGATCTATTCGGAAGTATTCACTACTATAAACTATAGTAAACTGTCAAAGGTACTCCAGATCTGGACTACATACACTGCACAGTGTATTGAAGTCCAAAAGGCTCGCTATCTGTAATGTTTCGTATAAACATAAATTAAATTTCTCTAAATGTACAAGCATACGGACATTCTGACGCGCATCGCCAACCATAGGCTTATACAAACGGCTTTTTGTTGTTCTATCGCATTCCCGGCATTCGCCACTCAAATGTGATTCGAATGGAACACACAATTCAGTGTGCTTTATCGTGAAGATGGCGTTGCTGAAAGTGTTGTCGATTTTCTTCGACTTCTAGCACACTATCAAATTCGCACCTTCAGTCAACACCTGTAATAGAGTATCCACACACACACACACACACCGAGGGGATTCGATTGCTTTTTACCTTGTTAGTTAGACAGATCGATTCATGCACCTTCACTGTTTGATGATGCTCATTCTGACACCCTCCAACTTAACGGTGTACGCTGGTGACGTAGATGAACAACGTGACAATGCAGTATGACCGTCTGACGTCATCGAGCAGAATATAAACACACAAAAATCATAACCTGGGGCATTGTGCTAACGATGACCTATACATGTCTATCGTAAACAATCAAAAATTGACTAATGGACAGGTACTTACCGAAGGAGCATACTTAAAAAATCGATTAACTGAAGGGGTACGGTCTTGAAGGAGGAAAGTGTGACTGTTATGACTCAGGTCACCTGAATCACCACGGCAATTCACGTGGTCGATAATTTCAGTGTGGGTGAAAGGAAGAAGGCCTTGGCTGCGGAGTTACTTGTTCGAAAGTGCCAACCGACCGGTTACAGACCATTGGACAAGGAAGTAAACCTCTCATTTGCATCTTATGTACAAAAACTGGAAATCCATCTTCTCCTGAGCGCGTCTTCTTGAACTTTCATGGATATTCATTGACTCCAATCATTCACTGCTCAAATCCAAGCAAATGTTACAAAGCGACTCCACAAATTTCGCAACAGATCTCCCTCTTTCAAGAGACGCAAAGCGAAATTCCGAGAACAACATATACCACTCGCATGCCTCCCCATCAGTAGTGTCACCGTTACATGGGTATTTGAAACGAGCGACTTGACAAACTTTCAATATTTTGTTTCGATTCTTGCGACCAAGATTTCTGATGGATTGCAGCAGTGGAGACCAAACACAAACAGTTTGAAAGAACCGCTAGTTAATCCCTTCCCCACTAATACCAAATTCATTTGCAAATGTTACTGCTCAGTTTTAAAACGTTATTCTAACCCCATATTAAAAGAGGGAAGTTTCTATCACAATTGAAGAAAAGATAAAATTCACTGACGAAACCTTTTGAATTTTGTACCTGTGGCAGCTATGTGGCAGTACTATGAGTAAGGATGATGAGACTACAACGTTACGGGTGGGTGTGCGCTGAATGGGATGATCTCAGAACACGAATTTACTGACCGAAAGGTCCGTGGTTCGAACCCGGCCTCTGCGTCTCAACTCCTGTCTAGGTTTGGGCATCCTGATAGCATCCCAGCCTTCGTGGTTCCTTCGAGGGGCATGGCAGCTAGGCACTGGAAGGGTGTTATCGCTGTACGAGAGTTACTTGTCGCCTTTCAACAGAAATGCTTTCAAGGATAGATCATTCTGTTCACCCAGGTCGGCAACAATTAGCTGCTTAAAACGATGACTTCGGCAGCCCACCTGGGACAGGAGTGACCATTAATTTGGTCGCTACTAGTCACATTAATGCCATTAAGTCGATACGCGGACACACTTGGCAATAAGCTTTGAACTGTCCAACAATTGGCGACAGGGCTCATCCAGCCCATGGAAGCGACATCGTACATGCGCAGATTCTCATCACAGTATGAGAGAAATTGTTTTGCTTGCTGAAACACTGCAATTCGTGTTTACAGTGCATTGTCAAAAATCCGGACTGAGGCTTGCCCCGGAGACTGTTGGTTAGACAGACAACCATGCGGGTTTTTTCTAAAGGGGATCGACCAAAACCAGTTACATATCGGTTTTTGTGTCCGATTCTGATAGTCTTCGTCGAATTTGATGTTGAATCAGTGGGGCGAAGCTTTAGTTCCCCAATCAGCTGATGACTTGTTCGGTCTTGTACAGCTGTCCTCACCCCTACCCTTGGCCTAAGAATGGATCTCACATAATCCCCACCTGGAATTTTGCGGGTTAGGCAGATATTGCTTCCTAAGAGCGATCAGATGAATTCTTGAGGTCACTGGAGCAAGAAGGCCAGATTGCCCGCACCATCCAGGAAAACGCTGGCTTTAATAGACCAGATCTGATAGTGTTATCCGTTCTATAGATTGTCACCCTACCTGTTGTCCTGATGAGGGCATCCTCACCAACTTAGACGCCAGTATATCGGGTCTCTAACTGAAGCACTACGAGCAGACTTTGGGGTATGTCAATCAGATCTCCTTCCTTGCAGCCTGAGTGAATAGAATGTTCTCACCTCTGATGGGATTTAACCTTTTCTCACTTTCAAATTCGGTCATTTTTTGTCCTTTTCCTTTGTGAAATGCACAGGCAGACCGATCAAGAAATGTTACTTTTACAGGGGTATCGGGAGAATGGGACGAGAATGTTAGAAACAGCTGGTGGACGCATCACTCAAGAGTGGACAGATTCGCTTGCTCAGATGTGATAGTTCCGGTGCATCCAGTATGTGCCGTTGGAGTAGTGGCAACAACTTGTTCGAGCTTCGAATCCTGACTGACCAAGGATACATACTAGTGAGCCAATTTAACAATAGCGAAACTCGAATGTAGGCTTACAAGAATAATGGTGCTAGTACAGGAGGAAGACCATTCAAACGACAGCCCGAAATTTGGCGACGCCCGTGCTCCGTGAACAGTTGCGTCTGCACTAATTGATGTTAAACGTGAGGTGCCAAGTTCCTCTCAGTTATCAAGACTGCCAGCATATTTTTAGTTTCCAGTCAGCTCATCAAAGCAAATACACAAATTGTTGATCATTTGAAACTATACACTTTTTGTTAAACGAGTCCCGAGCAAGATTGATGGGCTTCGTGTAGCCGTTTACCGACTTTCACAGCATTTACTAGAAGACCCTTTCCAAGCTTCACGATGACCTCCTGCTTCTTACACCAGTATCCACGCACATACTTAAAATGCACTGGAATGGTCGTGTACGACCGACCAAAGCTCCATACGATGCACATTTTCCGCTTGGAAAAACTGGTTAGTTAAAGTAATCTGCATTTGAAAAATCCACTTTCGATATATTCTTCTGGCCTAGACGTAGATAGAACGTCAATCTGGTTAAAATCGATGGTCAGTGGTTAAGGCGAGTCACGTGAGTCTGACAAGTGATCGATCAGCCCCGCGAGAGTCAATATCTGTACAGAATGTATCTGTATTCAAAACTCAAGCCGGAAACCACAGAAGCACATCATTATCAAGATTGTAAGATATAAGGCGAATTGACAAACCTCGCTAGCTCCATTCATAATTCATTAAATGTCCTAAAAGCAGTTAAAACGTCAACTATATGTCCAAATGTGTCAACCTGCTTTCCCCTGCCCATGTAGTCGGCAAAATCTTTCCGAATTAAAATATCGATTATATTGGTTACATGTCTACGGACGGAAGCAGAACTAAATCGGTTCCCCGTACGCACGAATGCTTACTTCTTCAGCTAATTGGGCGAGATGGTTCAGTGGCTAGAGCGCGAAGGTCCTTGGTTCGAGCCTCTCGACTCCCCTGCCTAGGCTTGGGCAAACCGGCAACCCTCGTGCTTCCTTCTGGTGACATGGCACGTAGGCACTAAAAGGATTCAACAGTTGAACGGTTTCTTCCTCAGCTAGTTTGACATATTGTTATTGTGAACCAAATCAGCTCCAACTGACGGAGACATGACACAAATCTGACAGCTAGAACATAGTGAATCTGTAAGAGTTGAAAATTTGGGGAACTTTTTTGCTCTTGAGACTTTAATTTGGATTTTTCAAGTGAAAAGTCTGGGTCCTTAGGGAGTACCGTCAACATGCACTCATTCCCTGTGTAGCTGGTGGCTTGCTCAAGACCGTTGTCGAGTTCATCTACTGGCGAACTGTTTTTCCTTCCTTTTTTACAGCTGCGGCTGGAGGAATCTACAAATCAAATGAAGTATGTGGTGCGTTCCCGGACCATTATCGACCGCCCCTTCCAAAACCGATTGGATCGTCCACCAAGGGCGAGCTTTCTTGTGCTTTTGTATGACCAAACCTTGATTACGGGTTCGAAAACTTAGTCTGTACGTTCGTTTTTTCTCACGGCTCCCCAATGGGGTAGTTGAACAGATGAGTGTGGAGATGTTCCGTAAGTGTACCGTGCATGACCTCTACTGGTTGCTCCTTCTTCTGCGGATATTGAAAGACCGACTGAGCAATGCTTTTGGAGCCAACGACAAACTGGAAGCAAAGAAGTGGTGATGAGCTGATGATGTGGTCACGAGCTATGAAAGTTTGATCGCACAACTGACAGGCATTGCCTATCAGGGAAACAGTCCTCATGTATAGTTAGAAGCACTTTCCACGGCCAATGGTTGTCTGCGTCCAGAGGCTAATCGACCTACCACATGGAGCCTCGTTTTCCAGTTTTACTCACCATAACCCAAGACCGGGCTCCATCAAGTTCGCTCGTTTATGACCCATCTGTTTTGTCTGTGTTTATCCGAATAAATGGCCTTACCAAACACACAACAACGGATCAAAGCTAAAAATGATGGTGGTGACCATAACTGTGAAGATGACGATACAGAATGCGATAATGATAATGAGGATGACGATGATGATGATGATTATGTTGATGATGATGAGTCAATGAATGAATGAATGAATGAATGAATGAACGGCTTAGATCGACCGTATCTTAGGTGATATAATTCCGGATGTGGAGCTTCAGCTCAGGAAACGTCAATGTTCATGTACGTCGTCATCACCGTCCAATTGTCTAGAACTGCACGGAAAAGTGACACTCGAACTACCCTCAGTTCTTTGATATCATAAATGATACCGTATTGGTGTCTTGCCAACGGTTTTGATCGATAGTGGCTGCGTCGACATGATAAACTAAATAGAATAATCCGTGTTGGTTGAACAGGTTGCTGCTAGCAATCCAACGGCAGCGGATGTTCAGCCATCCCATCACCAAACCAAGCAGGAAGAGGTGAAAGAAGCCAGCGAATTCAAGCCGCGCTTCTTTCAAATCGACGAATGTTGCGACTCCTTTCCAGGTGATTCCAATAACTCCATTCGTTTCTGGAACCAGGTGGTAGCAGACAATCTCGCGCACTGTTGACTGGTTTTTCGCCGTTCCTGAGGTTGTTAATAGGGTGACTACAAACCCTAAGCCATAGTTTCGGAAGCTTTCTTACCGAACGGGCGGTATCACAAATCGTTTAGTCGTACACGTGCACACTGTGGCGATGACTGAGCCCATGAGAACGTACACACCAACCATTCCTGTTGCGGTGTCCGCGGTCGCAGTCGTGGTGGCCGAGTGGTTAAGGCGTTGGACTAGAAATCCAATGGGGTCTCCCCGCGCAGGTTCGAATCCTGCCCGCGACGGTCCGTTTTGGCGCCAGTCCATAATGCCAGTCGCGAAAACATTCCGATGGACCGTACTTGCAAAGGGCATGCATCCGTTACACCCGAATCTCATAGGAGAGCTGACAGACATGAGAATTCCCTATCTCCACAAACGAAGAGGGATGAGTACTTTACGCTACTTCTACCTGAAACAGCTGTTTCAGGAGCACAGCCATTAAGTAAACGTGCAGGTACGTGTTTGAAATGACCCAGTAAACACGTCACCGCGGCACCACCGGTGGCAAGAGGTGGCAAACAGGGGTGGCATGTTACGCTTGCCACCGATGGCTAAAAGCGGCCAAAGGTGGCAACCCAAAAATTTCATGATATATTTACTCGGTGGTGCATTCAAACAAATCGGATCCAAAAGTTACTTCGTAAATAGAGCTCCAGTATCCAGAGTACCCTGTTACATTTGTTTTCAGAAGGCTTTTATGCAACAAATGCTATGTTTGGCTTGTATTCACAAACAAAATCAGTGGCAAAGCTAGCCAACTTTGGCCACCGTTAGCCACCGGTGGCACTGTTAACTGGGGAGCTGTTGACTCAAGTCAACAGGAATTCCCCGTTTGTGTACTCCCGGTGCGCTACTTCCGCTCCATACAGTGTAAGCTATTTTTTCTCTGATTTGTGTATACCATGGAGCTGTGCCTAGAATTTTCCAAGCCGGTTGAAGCTTGTAAGGTTATGGCTTCCTCAGAGAGTTGCCCAAACGTTTGTCATAGCGACGGTTATATTCACTATCGCAGATGTCCTAATGGAGGATCACAACGTCGATACACTAGCCTCACTGGATCAGTGCATTATTACCAGCATATGATTGATTCTCATCATTATTTGCTAGCACAGTCGATAGGTGTCTTCCATTAAAAATTGACCTTCACCCCACTCGCGGGTGCCTGAGCACTGAAAGCAGTCCCTTTCAGTGTTCCTAAGGTCCATCTGATGTAAGTTGCTCCACAGGACTCACATAAAGTTGGCTTTATGAGAGAGTTGATGATCGGTTACTCGTCTTATTAAGGGACGGTTCAATTCGATGGGAAGAATTGTGGACTTGGGTCTCACGGTAAGTTTCCCCATTTGCAGCCCACATACGCCACACTTAATAGCGGCTGTTGTTCTATCCCTTGAGCTCGACGACTAGACTGTAAACGTTTCGTCAACAGTTGTTTTTAAAACCCATACCTAGAGGGCACTCCATCTAAGGAGCTCATTGCAATGTGAGCTGAAGCTTTTAGGCACAAAACCAAGCAATTTTGTAACTACTCACGAGTAGTTACAAAATTGTCTCGCCATTTCGCCAGGAAGTACATCAAGTGGGTAAACCACTAACCACCACCAGCATAGGATTGATTCTGTGAGTAAATATTATTTGGTCCAGAAAATCTACAGGATGATGGACTAGCCAATAAGCCATTTCTCTTCAGGTTTTAGAATGCACTGGGCGAGGTGGAAATAGTTCAGAATGCTGATAACTCCTGTAAATATGCACTAGTTCTTAGCGAAATACACCGATTTGCAAACAAATTTGGTTTTATGAGAAACTCACCTGGAATCCAACTGAATCACTCGTTTATGACGTTTCTAAGCAACTGAGTGTGTTGCACCAGACCGCCTCATGTTCCAGTCGGTACGATATTCGAGATATCGCGATACGTGTATAGACGAACATTAGGTTGACGGAAACTCGGGGACTGCGCCTACCCGATGAGCCTCAAGAAGGGCAAAACCGGTCATGGACTGTCAAAGAATTTTCAGCAACCTTAGGAGTACTTTATTACGTCTGTGCACTAGTTCCCTCTATTCTGTTGCGAATATTCTAAAATCAAGCTTTTGAAACTCAGTGAATAACTTGTTTCAACCGGTTTTTCCTTCAGTAAACTGTTTGAAAACCATTCAGGCCGAACAGTATCTTCACTTTTAGCCTGCAATTACACACAAATACGGAAACTGCACTTCGTTCCAGCTAATGACCAGATATGACTACCGGACAGCATCGGCCTGAGACAAAGTAGGTCAGTGTGAGGCACTGTTATCGATTAGTGGCCAACAGTCACCCGGTAGCCTACTTTTATAATTTTCCCTCAATATCGACCGATGGGGTAGCCTGAGCTTATCCGCTCAAAAGCTCATAGACCGAACTGAAAGTAAAAAAGAACCGTTACAAGGCATCAGTTTCAATATCTGATTTTTAAGGGAAGTTCGCATGTAACCCCCCGAAAATCCATATATTCCCACTGAGGTACAATTTTCACCATTGATGTGTTATACTGTGTGTACTTACGGGTCTAGTGCTACTCATGCTGAATTTCCAGAGGCAGTCCGGGTGGAGGAACATACTCTCCGTTTGATAAACAAATTTGCCTTCACAATGGTTCTGAAGGGTTACGTGCACAAGCCTCAAGTCTCCTCGGTTGCCTTAATTTGTTTGAGACTCGCCACGCAGGGAACAAACCATCTGGACTGGCTGTCCTGTTTCAGATTCCGTTAACACAAATAGCTGAGTTCCAGTTATCTGAGCACCAGACACCCATACTGTGCTCAAACTGGTGTCCTCATCAAACCATCGCTCTGGTAGTAGCAAGTCAAGAATCATTTGATTACTTTATTTGAGCTTATCTACTCATTGCTTGATGGATAGAGTGGATCAATATCACTCTGAACAAACACAATGAAGTTCATCAATTTTCAAGTGTCTTTTCACGTTGAAATTCCAAGAGAAATCGTAATGCATCCGGTCTGTTTCGTACTCAAACATACGTCATACAGAGTAGTGTCGAAAACAACAAACGAGTTCCCCTCCTTACCTGACAGACTTCTCGAATTCGAAGCCAGTTGGATGATTCCAAATCAGAAATCAGGTGATTTGGAGAGGTAAGCAAAACCGACGCCACTATTCCCAGTAGTATGAAGGGTGAATTGGGACCAAGCTAAGGTGAAAAGGAGAAAAATCGTCGAAGACCGTTCGGCTGTAACACCCTTCCAATGTCTATCTGCCATGCCACCCGAAGGGAGCAGGAAGACTCGGATACTGCCAGATTGTCCAAGCCTAGACAAGGGAAGTCGAGAGGCAGAGGTTGGATTCGAACCACGGACTTCCCGGCCAGTAAATCTCTAACCACTTAAACCACCTCACAAGGCGCAGTAAGAATAGATTATCTCTAAAATGCACACCGACTAGATGGAAAATACCAGGCGTTGGGATTTGTTGGCTCGTAGCGAAAATACTGGGAGTTGAATGACGAGTTGATCGCTCGAAACTTGCAGCGTTTTTATCGATACTTTTGAAAAAAGTCCTGAAAGCCAAACCTAACCAAAACATTGGTGAAAACTGGACAATATGAGGTCATTCGCTGTTGTTCATGTGTGTTTTTAAACCAAAGCGGATGAGGCTCTAGGACCATGGGATTCCAGAGCTCGTCGTGTGTCAGCTTCTGTGCGATGCCTGTCTTGAAGTCAAACAAGCTAACCAGTCCAACTTGACATCATCTACGCCATTTTTTCGCACTGACTGTATTTCAAACTAGCACTATTGTCTCTTAAAAAAACGGCCGTTGATGATCGACTTACCGGGCTTGGCTCACTGTGTCCGGTAAGTGATTTGTCACCCTGATAGGCACGGGCGAAGGTTCCCCTTCTAAAGTCTACAGGTACGTCATTC